GCAGAGGGACACAGCTCCGCGCTGGCCCGTGGGGTCACTCTCCAAGCCTGGCCTGCCAGCTCTCTGGGACACACGGCACCAAGGTGGCTGCTTCATCTTGTCTGGCGTCATCTTCCTCAGTCTTTATAACAGTCGGTCATAGAGGCTTCAGCAGAAAAGACACAAAGGGCAATCAAGGCTCCCTTGCTATGTGTGAGCAATTTTGAGCCTGTTGTGTGAGTAGGTGGGGGAAGTTCCCAGAGAATTTGAGCTATTAGGGAAAAGAAACAGCAGTAACTTTGGAAGAACCTGGTTTTGAAGTTCCTGCATTTAAAAATTAAAGGGTTCTCTCCTGATTAGCTGTTTGAGATGTGTAATGGCAATTTAGCGATTGGATTTGTGTTAACGCTAAGCCACACACTGTTCCTTAGCTCTTTATCTGAAAAGAGGGAATAACTGCGACCAGCAGCGGTGCAGCAGATTGCCTCTCCTCCAGCCTGGGTGTGCAGTGATGATGGAGACTTCTGATGAAGAAAACTTTGGTGTGGCCGTGTGAGTACACCACGTTCTGTGTCGGGCTTTCAATAAGCTCTTTCCTATTTAAAATACTTTAATAGGAATATAATTACAAGAATGAATTTACACCATGCCGATTAGCAGGTTCTGCCTCTTAGGAGAACAAGGGTGCAGAATGCAAAGCTCCAGGAGGGAGTGACTTAATTTCAGAGGTTAGGTGAAGTCAAGCTAAATATAACCACAGTGGGCACAGCACCAGGCACCCTTTGCCGAGCGATCGAAATAAACATTACATACGTAATAAAACCTTGCCGTTTGTGTTAATTTTACGTTCAAAATTTCCCTTTCAAGTCCACGTGTCGTCGTGGATTCTAAGAAGAGACTGTTTCTCTGTGTCTGAATGGGCTCCTTCTAGACATGTAAGGCTTTTTACAGGTGGCTTTGACCAAATTGCACACAGGTGGATGCTAGGACACTGCTTCACCCCACGCTTGTCCGGCACCCTCTTCTTCTAGAGCTCATGGCAGATGGGGAGGTGTGCCCGTGCCTCAGTCGCTCTAATTCCTAGATTTGCTTTGTTTGTGGTGCTCCGTGGACTGAAAGGCCACGTGCTCCCTGGGCTGCTCCGGGTTGCGCTGGCCTAGGCTAGACATGAAGAGGCGACAACGAGATTGAGCACGTGTTTCTTCAGGTGTGTTGTATAGAGAGATGGAATTCCTGTTGTTTTGAAACAGTTAACATTCCATTATTTGCCTTCCAGGCCTAAACCAGGCTGTAAATTAATACTTATAGTTTATTCTAAGAGCAACAGCAAATTCTAAAAGTAGAAGTGACACTTACTTGGAGGGAAAAAAAGAGTGGAAATTATCCATAGCAAAGCCTCCTGTCCTTGCATGTAACTGGCAAGCGATGAGCTCTCTTGCCTGAAGTGGTAAGTGTGGTGCTCAGGGTATGCCATGCTCCACGTGCCAGCTCTTCTCACGGTGGTGCCCTGCCCTCCAGTGGAAGAGCACGCTTTTCCAATCCCTTGGCTTGGCTTTGCTCATCTCCCAGGGCTTAACGGATCAGAAATGCTGCTGGAGCGTCACTTGGTGATCGGACACCTTTTTAAATCAAATATAAAATCATAGAATCACAGAATGGTTTGGGTTGGAAGGGACCTCAAAGATCATCCAGTTCCAACCCCCCTGCCATGGGCAGGGACACCTTCCACTACACCAGGTTGCCCAAAGCCTCATCCAGCCTGGCCTTGGACACTTCCAGGGATGGGAATATGAAGATATGTCTTCATTTTTCCAGGGCAGTATGAGCCCAATGGCTCATTATAGTTAAACTGTTGTTTGATTAGTTTCACTAGGCTATTATTCAATAGCAAAATACATTTAATAAGTTTTTTAAAACTTAGTCTGAAAGAGTCTTCTGCTCTGTTTGCTAAAGAGAAATTTGAAAGAGAAACAGACATTTAATTTTAATTTAATTTAAGTGGCGCTTTTGCTGATCAAAGCTAGGGTTTTTTTTCTTAAAGACAAATGTCCTATGAGACCTTTTTTCCTCATGTGTGAGAAAAGCCTGCCTTTCATCTGCTGGAGAATATGGGAAAAGGTAATCCCCCACTACAGCTGAGCTCTGAATGCCGCGGCCAAGGCAATCCTCTGGTGTAAACAAGCCGCACAGTAGTGAATCTAGCAGAGGGATCCAGAAACGCTGGTACCAAAGTTTTGTTCCCTGGGTGACTTCAGATCCATAATGGTGTTTAATATTTGCTCATGATCGAATGACCTTAGGAGATGATGCCATTTATTTCTAGCATGCAGGGGTGTTTCTTGCGTAAGAAAAATATTTACATTTCTTCAGTTATACGATATTGGTGTACACATTGAGTTGAAGTGGTTGCACAAGACCAAGTATTTCGAAATATTCTCTAGAGCGTCACAGTTCTGCGATCACCGTGTAGAGTTGTGCAGGGAAGAGAGCAGGAGGAAAGCTGTGGTAGCAGCTGGGATTTGTGGGTTCACAAACACTTAATTTGCTCTTCTCATTACACCCTTTCCATCCTTCTGCACCAGGACTGGGATTGCCTTAGCAGTAATGCCAGTAAAGCAACACTCACAGGAACCTGCCTGGGGAAAATACAGCAGAGGCCTGATGAGAATCCCCTTGAAGCAGTCGTAGCAGTGTCACGGATTGGTTTGTAGGTTTAAACTAGGAAATTATTCTGTTATCTTGTAGTTACTGGGGTGCTTTGTGTTTGGGCTTTTTGTTAAGGCTTCTGAACATTAACTTTTATTTCTTCTGTGGTTGAAATGTGTGGTTATGCAGTGCTGCCTTTCTTTGCTTTCAGCTCGTCCCCTTCTGACGCAGAGTTTGACGCGGTGGTTGGGTATCTGGAGGACATCATAATGGGTAAGCTCTGCCAGCAGTTACAGACAGCAAGATGGGTGCTAACCATCCTGCAAGCCGCTCTTCTGTCGGCAGACATGCAGGACCAGACAGTTCCTGCCTGCTTCATGGAAGCTTGCCTTCCTTTGTTCCCATGACCCCTAACCTGCAGCATAGGAAAATATGCACAAAAGTCTTTTGCGTGCTGTTTCTGTGCTTGTAAGTCTTAAAAATTATTCCCTGTACCACTGCAATATACTTCATAAATAAACCATAAAGAGGTTTGTAAATCTCACATGGAAATCAAAGCTTTCTGGAATTTTTATACCCTTTCTGAAGGGGAAGGAGGGGACTGAGAGGATGCCTTTCCTTCCCCAGCTCTGCCTGAGCCTCTCCTGACGTGTTGTGCCGAGGTATTCCTGGGAGCTGCCGTGGTTTGTCCAGGCAGTTGCTGTAGTGCCTTTTGTAACGTGTAACACGAGGTGCCTGTGCCGCAGGTCGAGCGTGTTGTCCCTCGGCCCGTCTCTGCTGAATACAACCATTTATTTTCTCTGTCTGCAGCAGCGTTGCACAACTGGAAATGGGTGTCAC